TCTGTAATCCCAGCACTTTGGGAGGCCAAGGCGAGAGGATTGCCTGAGTCCAGGGGTTCGAGACCAGCCTGGGCAACTTGATGAGACCTGGTATCTACAATAAATCCAAAAATTAGCTGGGTGTGGTGGCACATGCCAATGGTTCCAGCTACTTGGAAGACTGAGGTGGAAGGATAGCCTGAGCCCTCTGGGTCGACACTGGGGTGGCCATGAACATATCACTACACTCCAGTCTGGGCAACAGAGTGAGACTCCAACTCAAAAAAAGAAAAAACAAAAAACAAAAAAACAGACCCAGGCCAGGTGTGGCGGCTCACACCTGTCATCCAGCACTTTGGGAGGTCAAGGTGGAGGACTGCTTGAGCCCAGGAGATAAGAAACCAGCCTAGCACACACCTGTAGTTCCAGCTACTCGGAAGGCTGAGGCGGAAGGATCGCTGGCACCCAGTGGGTCGAGGCTGCAGTGGCCGGGAGCAGCCACTGCACTCCAGTCTGGGCGACAGAGTGAGACTCCAACTCAAAAAAAAAAAAAAGAAACCAGCCTAAGCAATACAGACCTCGTCTTTACAGAAAAAAAGAAAAATGAAGATCCAGCAATTTGGGAGGCCAAAGAGGAAGGATCACTTGACGTCAGGAGTTAGAGACCAGTCTGAGCAACATACGGAGACCCTGTCTCTACAAACAAAAAAATTCGCTGGGCATGGTGGTGCACACCCGTAGTCTCAGCTACTGGGGAGGCTGAGACGGGAGGATCGCCTGAGCCCAGGAGTTTAAGGCTGCAGCGAGCTATGACTGTGTCACTGCACGCCAGCCTGGGTATCATGGTGAGACCCGTCTCTACAAAAAACGTAAAACATTAGCCAGGTGTGGCAGCGAACAACTGTAGTCTAAGCAACTCAGGAGGCTGAGGCGGGAGGACCATTTGAGTCCAGGAGTTGGAGACTACGGCAAGCTATGATGGCGTCACTGCGCTCCAGTCTGAGCAACACAGGGAGACCTCATCTAGTTCATATTTTATCAGCTTGAATCAAGTTACAATAAATATCACAGCTCCTTAAAAAGAACGTCCAGGCCAGGCTTGGTGGCTCAGCCTGTCACCCCAGCACTCTGGGAGCCTGAGGCCAGTGGATTGCCTGAGCCCGAGGGTTCGAGACCCGCCTGGGCAACTTGGCGAGACCTCGTCTCTACAATAAATCAAAACAATTAGCCGGGCGTGCTGGCGTGTGCCTGTGGTTCCGGTTACCTGGAAGGCCGAGGCAGAAGGATCGCTGGAGCCCAGCAGGTTGACGCCGAGGTGGCCGTGAGCGTGCCACTGCACCCCACCCAGCCTGGGCAACGGAGACTCCAACTCAACAAAAAAGAATGCCCAAAGCCTTCCAGGCAGCCACACGGCCACGGTTTCCCTGGCAACACCACCCACATGGCGGCCCCGGTACCTTGAGGCTGACGTCCGTCCAGTAGATGTGGTTGTTGGCCACGTCGAAGTCCAGCGCGGAGGCCTCCTTGACGCCCGTGAGCGGGATGGCCACGTCGTTGTTGTTGGTCTCCAGGGAGATGCGGTGAATGGCGGCCCGGCTGGTGAAGACCAGGAAGGCCTCGGGCACGATGCACGTCTTCGAGTCGCTCAGCAGTTCCAGGCCGATGGGGCAGCCGCACCGGGTGGCCCGCGGCGTGAAGAAACACAGGTGGCTGCAGCCCCCGTTCCTGTCTGCGCACGGGTTGGTTCCTGCAAGTAGACACACAGGATCCAGGCCCCACGCGTGCACCCACCCGCGTGTGCGACTTTGTTGGCGCCCCCGGTCAAGTGGGAACGGTGGGTGGAGGTGGCGGGAGAAAGGCCCCGATGGTGGCAACCAAAGTTCTCCTCCAGGGCCCGGCGCGGTGTCTCACACCTGTCGCCCCAGCACGAGAGGAGGCCGAGGCAGGAGGATCGCTTGAGACCAGGAGTTCAAGACCAGCCTGGGCAACATAGCCAGACCCCGTCTCTACAAAAACAATTTAAAAACCAGAAAAAAAGCCGGGCTCGGTGGCTCAGCCTGCAATCCCGCGCCTTTGGGAGGCTGAGGTGAGTGGATGGTCTGAGTCCACGGGTTCGAGACGCACCTGGGCAGGCAAGACCTCATCTCCACAATAAATCAAAAAATTAGCCGGGCATGGTAGCGCGCACCTGTAATTCCGGCTACTCGGAAGGCTGAGGCAGAAGGATCGCCGGAGCCCAGCAGGTCGAGGCTGCGGTGGCCGGGAGCGGCCACTGCACTCCAGTCTGGGCGACAGAGTGAGACTCCAACTCCAAAAAAAAAAAAAAACAAAACAGAAAAAAAAACAAAGTCCCCCCCAGTCTGGTCAAGGGTCAGCAGCCACAGCAACTGTGGGCCCCGACGGACCTTCCTGCACCCCAGTCCCCGGTCCCGGCTGTCACCTGTCTTATCTCCCTCCACCAACCCAGGAGGAATGAGTTGTTCTCATTCCTGCTTTCAGTTGCAGAGACTTAAGCACAGAGAGGCTATGAAGACAGGACAGGTGAAAGGTCGGGAGCAGCTCAGAGGGAACCCCAACCCAGGCAGCCATGCCTCCAGGCCTGAGCTCCAACCCTGGGAGGACCCAGTAATGCCCAGGCAGTGACGGGGCGCGTCACCTCTCCCGGAGCCTCGATCCCCAGCCTGCTGACGGGGCTGGTCACCAAAGTCCCACCAGACCCGTCCCTGGAGACACACATGCTCTCGGTAACCTTGAACACTCGACTTGCCAGGCCCGGGGGTTCACGCCTGTAACTGCAACCCTCCGGGAGGCTGAGGTGGATGGATCGCTTGAGCCAGGGTTGGAGACCAGCCTGGGCAGCATGATGAGAGCCCCGTCTCGACCAACAGTAAAAATGTTAGCCAGGCAGGGTGGCGCATGCTTGTAGTCCTGTGGGAGGCCGAGGCACAAGTACCGCCTGAGCCCGGGAGGTGGAGGCTGTAGGAACCCCCGATCGTGCCTCTGAGTTCCTGTCCCTCGCGCTCACGCCATCGCACCTGGACGCTGCTCTCTCCAGTGTCACCTGCTGACTTGCAGGTGGAATCCTTTCCAGAAGGGACAAATTATCGCATCCAACAACGGCCTCCCCTGAGCTTTCTGCAGATCCTGGCTCGTAGGTAACACAGAGCGTGTGGGTTTGAGGGTCGAGTCTGGCCACAGGGCACAATAATCGCAGTTTGGTCCAGTGACAGGGTCAAGGCAGACCCCCAGGGGCATCCTGAACTTGGCACCGTGAGCGGCGTGGCTCTGCCTTGGGCCCCCCCACCCCAGCATAAATGGGGCGGTGACTGTCTAACACACAGGGTTGCTCTGGCACTAAGGGCCTCAGTCAGGGCCCGGTACACAGTAGGTGCTAAATAAATAAGTAAATAAAATTAACATAGTTTTTTTTTCTGGAAAATTGTTTTTTATTTTTATGTTTTGAGTCGAAGTCTCACTCTGTGGCCCAGGCTGGAGTGCAGTGGCACAGTCACAGCCACCACAGCCTCGACCTGCAGGGCTCAGGAGATCCTTCCGCCTCAGCCTTCCAAGTAGCTGGAACTACAGGCACACACCACCATGCCTGGCTGATTTTTTGATTTGCTTTAGAGACAACGTCTTGCCAAGTTGCCCAGGCTGGGCTCAAACTTCTGAGCTCAGGCAATCTTCTTACCTCAGTCTCCAAAAGTGCTGGGATTATAGGTGCACGTCACCATGCCCAGCTCATTTTATTATTTGTTGTAGAGACGAGGTCTTGTCAAGTTGCCCAGGCTGGTCTTGAACCCTTAAGTTCAGGCAATCCTCTCGTCTCGGCCTCCCAAAGTGCTGGGATTACAGATGTGAACCACTGTGCCCAGCCTGTTTTTTATTTTATTTATTTTATTTATTTTTTATTTTTTGAATGGGAGTCTCACTCTGTCACCCAGACTGGAATGCAGTGGCCGCTCCCGGCCACCGCAGCCTTGACCTGCTGGGCTCTGGCAATCCTTCCACCTCAGCCTTCCAAGTAGCTGGAACTATAGGCGTGCGCTACCACGCCCGGCTAATTTTTTGATTTATTGTAGAGACAAGGTCTCGCCAAGTTGCCCAGGCAGGTCTCGAACCCACGGGCTCAGGCAACTCATTCACCTCAGTCTCCCAAAGCATGGGATTACAGGCTGAGCCACCGAACCCGGCTTGTTTTATATTTTTTTAATTGCCTTTATTTTTTGCTTTTTAAATATGTATTTCAACAGCTGGGCAGTACATTATAGTTGACACCAACGTTCCCAAGTCACAACCTTTACCTCTCCGACACCCAACCCTGGCCCTGCACGGACCCCATCCCCATCTGTGCCTAGCCAGCTAGGGCCACCTTTCACGTCCTGCCATCCCCGAAGCCTGACACCCCCTCGGGACACTCACGCCCCAGTCTGGACCTGTCACCCGCATCCCCAAGCAGTTGGCACAAGCAGGCCACAGCCCAGGGCTTCCCGGACTCACCAACCACCTTGGCCACGTTCACAGCCTTCAGCCCCATGAGGTCGGGCAGCTGGTCGATGATGACGTCCCGGCTGGCCTTGACCTTGTGCACCCGCTCGATGCTGCGTCGCTGCCAGTCCGTCCAGTAGATGAAATCCCCCAGCAGCGTGAACCCGAAAATGTGGGGGAGCTTGTCTTCCAGAAGGGTCCGCCTCTTTGTCCCGTCGACGTTGATCACCTGCAGGGTGGCAAAGATGGGTCTGGACAGGCCGGGGCCACGCCCATGAGAGCCACCCCTGACCCCGCCCCAGGACCTGAGCTGCCCAAGACAACAGGCGTTCAACTCCCAGGAGTTCTGCTCTCTGGGAACCGTGCTGGGTACCGTGGCTCACCGGGAATGTGGGATAAATGACATATTTTTTTCTTTTTCTGTTTTCTTTATTTGAGTCAGACTCTGTCGTCCAGGCTGGAGTGCAGTGGCACGCTCACGGCCACCGCAGCCTCCACCTGCTGGGTTCAGGGGATCCTTCCACCTTAACCTTCCAAGTAGCTGGAACTACAGGCATGTGCCACCACACCCAGATAATTTTTTTATTTATTGTAGAGATGAAGTCTCACCAAGTTGCCCAGGTTGGTCTCAAAGCCCTAGGCTCAGGCAATCCTCTCACCTCGGCCTCCCAAAGTGTTGGGATGACAGGCGTGAGACACCACACCCAGCTTTTTTCTTTTTCTTTTTGAGTCAGTCTCACTCTGTTGCCCAGACTGGAGTGCAGTGGCAGGATCACGGCTCACCACAGTCTCAATCTCCAGGGCTCGGGCGATCCTCCCATCTCGGCCTCCAGAGTTGCTGGAACTACAGGCGTCACCATGACTGGCTAATTTTTGTAGAGAGGGGGTCTCGCTTTGTGGCCCAGGCTGGTTTCAAACTCTTGGGCTCAAGCAATCCTCCTGCCTCAGCCTCCCAAAGTGCTGGGATGACATGCCTTAGTGCTCTAAGTCCAAGCCTGCAGTCTCAGACACTCTCCGCTCTGAACACGGAGATGGAAAAGCTAAATCTTTTCCTGGAAGAACTGGTGAGACGAAAAGTGGCCACTGCAAAAGCCAGGGAGGAGAAAACGTCATCAAACAAGAGACTCCTTGACAAATGGAAACACAGATACACAATCGACAGCCCTGGAGAGACATGTTGAAAGGCAGACTCAGTGCAGACACGACACCCAAACTCCCAGGAAGGAGAAAAGAGACGCAGCAGTTAAAGGCAGGTGTCAGCAGGCATCCTGCAGCCAGACGCCACGTCCATCAGAGACACTGCCACTCTTCCATTTTGCGGTGGGTGGCAAAACCCTAAGGCAGACCAAATGTCTATTGAGAGGAAAAGACCTTGTTTTTGAGTCTGGGTCTCCCTCAGTCACTCAGACTGGAGTGCAGTGGCACGATCACAGTTCACTGCAACCTCGACCTCCTGGGCTCAAGGTGATCCTTCTGCCTCAACCTCCCCAGTAGCGGAGACTACAGGAGCACGCCACCATGCCCGACAACTTCTTTAAAATGTCTTGGGCATCCAGGCTCAGTGGCTCAGTCTGTAATCCCGTGCCTTAGGAGGCCGAGGCGAGTGGATTGTCTGAGCCTGCGGCTTCAAGACCTGCCGGGGCCACTTGGCGAGACCTCGTCTCTACAATAAATCAAAAATTAGCCAGGCGAGGTAGCGCGCGCCTGTGGTTCCAGCTACTCGGAAGGCTGAGGCGGAAGGATTGCCGGAGCCCAGCAGGTTGAGGCTGCAGTGGCCGGGAGCAGCCACTGCACTCCAGTCTGGGCGACAGAGTGAGACTCCAACTCAAAAAAAAAAAAACGCAGCAGGGGACGATTACGAGGTGCTCTTCTGGGTGGGACAAGCTGCACCCACGGCAAGGGCGGGCAGTCGCTCTGGGTGGGCTGGGCCAATAGGGTCTCCATGGAGACCGGGAAGCCTCCATGGGGACACCCCCAAGCCCACTGCTTTCCACCCGGATTCCAGAATTCGGAAGGACCTGAGGCCTTCAGCGAGCAGTTCTTGGCTGCTCTAACACCGAAATGAAGTGATCAATTCCCAGATCCAACACAGTGCCAGGGAAGGATCACTCAAGCCCGGGGTGGGTTTTTCCTGGAGCCAGAGCCCAGGAGTTCGAGAAAAGCCTGAGCAACACAGCAAGTTCTCGTGCCAAAAAAAAAAAATTATATGGAATTTAAATTTCAGTGCCCATAAATAAACTTTGAGTTTTTTTGGCGATAAAGTTTTATCAGAACACGAAAATGCTTTCTCTCCTTTACAGAGGAAGTTTGCTGACCTCTGTCCTAGGAAACCCCTCTCCCGAGTTATTTCCTGGGGCCGGTGTTCGTGGACATCACGAGTTCGATCCTGTCATCTCTGAATTCTCTTTTGACGCATCAGCCTCTCAGGAGTCAGGCTGGGCACGCACTCTGTGTCTTGCCTCCTTGATGTGGCAAGAGGCTTGGCTTGGCTTGGCAGGGGATTCTCCACCTCCTGGGCTCAGGCGATCCTCCCGTCTCAGCCTCCCAAATCGCTGGGATGACAGGCCCGTGCCACCACGCCCAGCTACTTTTTTTTTTTTTTTTTTG